GAGAGACTCGAGGCTGTTCCCTCCCTCCTGGACAAAATGGTGCATGCTTTTCCTGTTTGAACAGGGCCCGGTTGTGGAGAGCCCTGACTCCGCACACACCAAGGCCCGGCAACGGCTGCAATAAATCAATAGGAAAATAGAAGCTGCCAGTTAGACTAAACAAGCGCATTTGCAGAGACGGCTAGCCCTCATTAATCACTCTGACAGTCCTAAAAACACATTTCCCCTTTAATGACTGTATTTGGATAATCAGTGCTTTTTCCTCCTCAGTCAGAGTTTGAGTAACAGACAGCTGGTGTTATTACAGCCATTGGGGAGGGAGGGCTGGGATTAGGGTCTACGCAGAGCCGTCCACTGGAGGTCTCCTCCAACCGGGTTGGCTGCAAAGCCGTTGTTACACAATAATGAGGGGGAGCTCTGTGCTCCCATTGAATGCTCCCGGGCAGCCATGTGCGAGTTCCCCCCAAACCTTGACACCCACCTGCATTATGTGAACACAAAAGCCTCATGTTGGGTTTTATGAGCTTTGGCAGATTGAACCCGGGCTGGGCGGCAGGCAGGGCTTTCTCCGACGGAGAGGTAAGAAGATGGGTCCGTGTGATTTGGCTTTGTTTCCTTTAGGTGACTTTGGCTTTCCGGAGAAAGTTTGAAACCCAGCACATTCCTCTTTATAAATGATGTAACACATTAATGCAGAGCACATTATGAAAATGGTAATTCAAACCCATAGTGCTCCAAATTAAACCATACATTATCGGATGCACTCAACCATCTATTTTGCAGAAAGACAGGATGAATGAAATCAAATCAAACAGAAAACTGGAGAGCAGCTTCCCCTACAAAATGATTAATAAAGTGCAGAGCCTCAGGATTATTGCAAGACGAATTCCACAGTCACCCAGACATACATCAGGCAGGAGTTAGCTCTGAGAGACACATCACAGTGTGCTGGGGAGGGCCCGGGGCAGTTGCGGCAGCCCCATGCCTCCTCCTTGGGCTACAGATTTCTCAAGAGGTGGGTTTGTGGGGGGCTGGGGGGGGCAACTGGTAAGTTAAAAACCCAGTATCATGCTGTTTTGTTTGTGTCAAACCTGGATCCGAGAGTGAGCCCTTCCCCTCCCTCTCTTCCTCCCTTCCTTCCACTGCTGCCCGCGGGGCCACAAAAATAACCAGCCGAGAGGTGTAAAAATCTGACCTGGAGCCAGGAAAGTCCAGTGTCTCAAGTTGCAGCTCTGAGCTTCCACCCTTCCTGGTGCCTTGGGAACACAGGCCCCGTTTCTGGCGCCTGGGAGAGATTAGGAGGAAAGGGGAGGGGGAGGGCTAGGAAGAGAAGGAGGTGGTGAAATAGAAGGTGGAGGTGATTCTCGAAGAAAAGAGTTGCTGGATGAATTAATTATGCAAATAAGCAGTCGGTGGGGAGTATTATCTCTATTAAAACAGCAACTTTGTTTAATGAGAATTTAGCTATTGAAAGTAACCAACTGCCCACCAGCTAATTAAATGTTTCTTAGGAACTGGCACCCATTTCTGGTGAGGAGGGCTGACATTTCAGGGTGAGAACTGGGACACTCCAAACTCCCTTGCTTGCCCTTTGATGTCACAATGGTAGCTGGGGACAGCCCATCCTAACTAGGCAAAGGGCCTCCTTCCCAGTCTGCAAAGGCCACCAATACACTTTCGGGGGGGGGGGGGGGGGACTCAATAGCCTGAGGGGTTTCTAAGCTGCGGGTGAGCCAAGCAGCTCTATAAACGTGACTTTTGCTATACAGAGAGTTCAATCTTGGAGACAGCGAATCTATTCCTTTCTCTATCCCAACAAGAGGAACTCAGCTAGGGAGGTCTGAAGACAGCCAAGTTTAAGACCGAGAAAAGTTTAAGTCTTCCTGCAGAGGGAGCAATTTCCAGCAGTTTTAGCAAGGATTAAAAAAAAAAGAAAAAGAAAAAAGGAAAGAGAAGGACTTCAGAGGAAAGCAGGATGGGAAATAACCAAAAGCAAATAAAAACAATAGAAGAGAAGAAGAAGAAGAAAAAACCAAAAAACAAAAAACAAACCAAAGCAACTCGTAACATTTCAGGCCTTTTAAACATTCAGGCCAATTTGAACCTGAAGAACACGGAGAATGATGATTCCCCAGGAAGACCCTGACATGGTCCCAGGGCTGCTTCTCCAGCCCATTCTCCTGCCCTTCTCCCTGACTCCCTCTGCGGCCCCCACGTGCCCAAAGACACCAGCAGCCCAGGTCCCAACCCTGGGACACACGTAAGTTCTTATGGCGGTCAGCACTGATATTTTCTGCAGAAGCCGCCTGAGGTTCTCTTGACTAATGACGGAATTTTGGCCAGAAACAAAGATTTAGTGGCAAAACTTCAAAAAAACCTAATCCAACTCCCCTACAAAAGCATCTAACGTTGAGGTTTTGTCAAGTCCCCAGACCCTCCCTGATTCTCCAGGGGAGTGTGGTGTGGCCTCAAACCACGGGGCAGGGCGGAGAGCGCGTCCCTCCCACGCCGCCCTTCCGCACTTGACCTCGGATCTACGCACATTTCAGAGGCGCGCGGTTCGCGGAGCACCAAATGCTCTGTAAGTCGCTATCCTCACAGAAAAAGCCAAGTAAAACAGCAGTACAATAACAGATCCCGAAGCGGCACGGGGCGGACAGCGAGGAGAGCCGCCAGGAGGGGGCGAGGGAGCCCACTGTGAAGTGCACCCAACAGGTGGCCTGGAGTGTCCCAGGCGCTGGAGGCCGAGAGCCCCTGCGGCCTGGCCCGGTGCGCCCCAGAGCCCGCGGCCTTGGCCGCTCACCTCCCAAAGTGGACGTGCAGGCGGTCGGTCCTCTCCTCTGGGCTCGCCGAATCCCGCGCCTTGGAGAGGTGCTCGGCCCTGGTCCCAGCTTCCTGATAAACGGCAACACATCCTCAGGAGGGTGGAGGCCCGAGGATGCCCAAGCTGGGTCAGCCGTGTGAGCTCAAGACACAGGGCACGAGAGTGGCTTCAAAGTCCCGAGTAATCACCGCGCCTTCTCAGCAAAACCCAAACTCTGTCCAGAGAAGTCTCTGGAGGCGCAAATGGCCGGGGTCGACAACCCAGCGCTGGCCTTGGGGAGCTCCCAAGCCTTGCGAAGCACCAGTCTCAGCAGGGGAATTTACTCTTTGGTGTCAAGGTGTATGAAAGGCAGTCGAGAAAAGGAAATTACTCGCCTTTCAAGTGGGAAGCGCAGAAGGCGTCGTCGGGGCTGGCGCCCGTCACTCGTCTTTCTGCCACTAGGTGGCGCCAGAGGCACGTCGACTTTGCATACCTGCGGGGCTCTGGGGACGGTGCTGCTGGCAGTAGGAGCCCTGCGCCCTGGTTTCTTTCTCAGACCCTAGTACCTCTAGGCCCAGAGGAAAAACCGCATTTACACACTCCCTCCACCCTGTCCCCAGGAAATGTCAAGGACTTTGAAGGGAGCCCAGGAGCTAAATAACCGAGTGGGGGAAAAAAAAACCATAAAGGCGGTTTTATGTTATTTGTAATGCGTTGGCAGAAGTTTTGTTTTTTTCCTAACCCCATCCCCAGCCCCCCTTCTTGAGGAAGGCATTAAACTCGACCTTGAATGGAAATCTCAGAAGGAAACCATAAGGTACTTAAACAAGAATAAAAGAAGGACATCTGCTCAGGTGTCTGGAAGTGGGACAGTGGGTAGGCAAGAGAGAAAGACACCACGGTGTGAATATAGCCAAGTATTCCATTTATTAACAAAATAAGTCTTACCAAGGGAGAGCTCTATCCATCCCAAACAGGCCCCACAGCCCCCCGGAACTGCTGCACAAAACCAGGAGGGAGGGAAGGTGTGGGGAGAAGACCCAGGGGTCGGAGTCTTCAATCCCAGTCACTGAGGGAGCCCACGGAAGCCCAAGGCCAACTTTGGGGATTCTGTTGGGTCAGGCCTGGGAGGGGGTGATGGGGCTACTGTGATCCGTGTACTCCCCAGCTCCCCAACTGTCCCCCAGTGGAGCTACCGAGGTTGTACTGCCCTCTGATATTGCCACTGGTCTGCTTTGGAGGGATCTAGCAAGAATCACTGACCATACCCTTACCACCAGGGGACCACTGTCCCCCAAATGGAGAATAAAACAGGACTACCAATGCAATATTAAGAGCAAAGTTTCACCAGCAGGGCCTCCTAGGACTTTTAACTGAATAAGAGAAGCCCTACAGGTCCCCCACCAGCAGGCAGTGTGACTACCGGGTGTTTGGGGCCATGAGAAGTCTGGAAGGTAGAAAGGCTGTCAGAGGCCGCTTGGGTCTCTCACAGGGGAGCCTGCTGGTGGGGTCAGGGCTCTTAGTGCTTAGAGCAAGACAGAGGAGCAAGGCTCTAATTTTGGGGGCCAGGGTGCAGACCAAGGACCCCAGAAGAAGAGGGTTGCAGGGGACGAGTCACAGAGCAGAGTTCTGGGTCAACAGAACACAAGACCTCTTGCCACCAAGGCGGATCCCTGCATCCCCGCAAACGAGTTACAAAAAATATCTCCTCTCTGTTACTTGTACAAAGGATAAAACAGAATCTCAAATGTAAGGAAACAAGAAGAAATGAAGGGGAAAGAGGGGGAAAAGAGAAGGGGGAAATGTAGTCTTAACAGTTAGGAAGCATGCAAGAAACTCCCCAGGAAGGGAAAACAAATAGAAGAACCCCAGAACCCCAACTCTCCCTCCTCCCCCTAAAACCAAACCAATCAAAAAAAGAAAAAAAAAGAGAAAAAGAAAAAGGAAAAAAAGAACCTTACATCTAAGAAAAAGAAAAAAAAAATAAAGGAAGAGGGGTGGGGAACATGTAGTTACTTGTGTGATTAATATTATTATTTGGGGAACACAGACTTTTTGCATACCATTGACTCGTGTGGGCCGTTAATGCACTTATATTCCCAGCTTGTAAGCTAACATTATAGTAAATAAATACACAGTCCGGTGGGGAGGGTCTGGGCCGGGGGGATCCTGGCAGGGACAAGCAGAAGTGGAGGTTTCGGCGGCGGTGAGGGGGGAACAGGGTTGGGGGGGAGGGAGAAAGGAGAAGAGGGTTGGGTAGGAGCAAGAGCTGTAGTTACTGGTATCCCAGTGCGGAGGCTGAGGCTAGTCTCTGTCCATACAGCGCATACGGTGAGTAGTAGGGTCCGGCTGTGGGGAGGGAGGGCACGGCCAGGCCCCCGGCTGTGGATAAGTGGCTCTTGCCATAGGGGTGGTACCGGCTTAGCCCCAAAGTGTGTGGACTCCGCAATGACAGCGACCCGGGGCTTCCCGGGGCGGTGGGCGGGGGGAGGTGCAGGTGGCAGGAGGCTGCCGCTGCGGCGGCTGCGGCGGCGCTTCCCAGGCCCGAAGCCCCGGGGTAGGCGGCCAGAAGTTTCTCCGCGCCCGGCAGGGCCGTGTGAGTCCGTAGGTGGCTGAGCAGCTCCTCCGAGGTGGCGAAGCGCTTGTCACACGGCCCGCTGGCCGCCACCCAGTTGCAGCTGTGCGGCAGTGGTTCGTTCTGCAGCATGAAGCCGTAGGTGTAGAGAGGGTGGCCGGGAAGCGCGGCCTGGGCGGCGCTGGACGAGAGCGCAGCGGGCTGCAGCGGGTGCCCGGGGTATACCAGCGGGTAGCCCCCCGCCTTCAGGCTGGGCCCCGCGGGGTCATGCGCGCTGCAAGTGGAGCAGCTGGAGCCGCCGAGGTGCGAGGCGCTGTGGTAACCTCCCAGGCAGTAGGGGTCGCGGCATAATCCCTGCAGGAACGAGGGCGGGGAGGCCCCGGTGAGCGGGCTGGAGCTGGGGGGCTTGCCCGGTGGCAGGCCCAGGCCCCCCGACAGCTGGCCTCCCACGAGGCCAGACTTGCTAGGATCCAGGCCAGGCACGAACTGGGACGGGTAGCCGGCGTAAGCGCCCACGATGGAGCCGTGGTAGCCGATGCTGGAGGGTGGCAGCGGGAACACGGAGTGGCCCGGTTTGTAGGGGGACACCGGCGCCACGTGGCCGGCCCCCACCAGCGCCGAGGGCGGCTCGGACTTGCGCCCGGAGGCCCCAGCCTCCGTGCCACCCCCATGGGCGCTGGGCTCCCCACCGCTGCCGCGGCTCACCGCCGCAGCCTCCGGGCTGGGCTTGGGCTCCTGGTCTTTCTTGTCCAGCTCCCCGCCGCCACCCCCACCGCCGTTCTTGCAGTCAGAGTGGTGCGGGGAGCCGCCCCGGGAGCCACCAGGCGAGGACGACGACGACGACGCAGAGACCGGCGCTCCATGCGGGGGAAAGGGCGTGCAGGCGGCGCTGGGGACCCTGAAGCCCGCCTTGTCTCCCGGAGACAGGGAGGATGAGGAAGAGGTGGAGGACACGGAGGAGGATCCGCTGTCTTTGCGGGAGTCGCTGCCGCCGGTGCCCTTGGAGTAGGGCTTGAAGCTGGACTTGTCCTCTGCAGGGGAGTCCCCCAGCTGCTTGAGGGCCGCAGACACGGAGGCGGCTCCCGTGGCGGTGCGGCCAGGGTCCTTTTCGGCTCCCAGCCCGTTGGCCGCCGCTGCTACCGAGTTGAGCTTGGACGAGGGCGGCGGGTCTGGCTTGCCGATCTGCGAGCAAGTCTGGGCTAGCAGCGCCAAAGGACTCTTCTTGGCGTCCAGCTGTGGGAGACAGCGGCAACGGAAGGGAGAAGGGGGTGAGACCACCAAACCGACGGAGCAAGTGGGGTGTCTGGGGAGCTGGGTGGGCACAGGGACCCCCGGCGGCGGTGCGACGGGGCGGGAAGGCATGGGGGACAGGCTCTGAGAGCAAGGCCCGGGAGGGGCGGCGCAGTCGTGTGGAACTGCGCTCTCAAAGCCCGAGTGGGATCCCTCGTTCCACTGGGTCCCAGAGTGCGGCACAGGCCTGGGCAAATGGGGCAGTGGAAACGGTCCACCAGAGGCCGCCGCGGGAGCAGGTGACTGGTCTGGAGTAGGGGCTGGGGAGGGGCTGTGACTCGCCCCCTACCCTCTAATCTCCCCCTCCCCTGTGTCCAGGAGAAAACTTACTACTTCAGTTTGGGGAACTTCGCTTGGGACGGGTTTCTAGCGGTGGCGCCGCGAGGTAGGAGCCGGGAGAAGCGCATTTGAAAGCCAGGGCGGCCGCTGGCGCTCTCCTAGTGGCCCCTTCCTCCTGGGGAGGGCACCCAGGGCGGTGGGAGGAAGAAAGACCTGGGATCGGGAGTGCCGGGGCGTAGAGCACTCTAACCGGATGGGACAGAGGCGGAGTGGGACGGGGGCGATCCGGTCTCAGAGAGCCCAAACCGGTGTGGGTGTTGGGGGCGGGGGCAGGAAAGGCCCAGGAGAGATCGTCTCTCGTCTGGAAACTGGGTGCCAGAGGAAAAGTAAAGGACCCAGTGGAGACTCCCAAGAGCAAACCCAATCCAAGAGAAAGCACGTAGTTCCGAAAGGCGAGTGTAGAAGGCGAACCTTCCACGGAAAAGCCTGAGGAGAACCCGTGGTCTCCGATCCCTGTTCCCACGGTCCCTCCTCAACCCGTCCACGGGCGCGGCCAGACCTGGGCGTCGCACCAAGCCCCGGGACGCAGGGAGTGGGGCCGCGGGCACGGCAGTGGTGGGCGGAATGGGGCCGGCGCTGGGCGGGCAGCGACCAGGAGACTGACCTCAATGGGGCTGACGGGAGTGGAGGACAGCGGCTGGAGGTACTCCGGGTGCAGGAGGTGGCCGGTGTGAGCGCTCAGCATCTTCAGGACCCTGATAGGGAGCCGGTTCGCCTGGCGCAGGGGGTCCGCCGGGGGCAAGAGGGACACCGCCGCCGGCACCGCCGGCCTCTTCCCGCCGCCGCCGCTGCCGCTGCCGCTGCTTTCGGGTGTCCTTGGGTTAGATCCAGCGGGCGAATCGCTCATTTGGAGGAGGCAGCGCCACTGGGGGGGCGGGGAGGGAGGGGGAGCACCGGGGAGGCGAGCTCCCGGGGCGGGTGGGCTCGCTCCGCAGCGTCGAGCGCGGTGCAGCAGTCGCTGCGCCTCCACCCCTCCTCCACCGACGCCGCCGCCGCCGCCGCCGCCGCCGCCGCTAGTCCCGGCGAGCAACACAAAAACCTTCGCCTTCTCGGAGCCGCACGTCAAATAGCCGCGATCGGCAGCCACACTTCAAAGGGATCGCCGCGCCCGCCCAATCGCAGCTCTCGCCGGGACCCCGGGGCGGGGAGAGCGGCGGGCGGAGGCCGGCGCCGCCGGTGGGAGGGGAGAGCCTTAAAGGGGCCTCACCCGCGAGCTGCCGCCGCCTCGGCCTCCACCACCCGCCGTACTCCTCCCCTCCCCCCAGCCGGGCCGCCCTGGCCCCGGGGTCCCATAGAAGACGGGACTTGTCCCGGACCCTGGGCTCCGCGCCCTATCCCCCGCTGGCTTTCTTCTCTCCCCTCTCATTTCACGCCGCCGGGGGTGGTGCTGGCCGGGTCAGTCACCCGCCAGCCGAGTGTGTCTGGGGTGGGGCGGATTGGGGGTGGGTAGGGGCGCAAGGCGCTGGCTCTGCTGCTGCGGAGTCCCAGCCTCTCCTGGAGGCCGCCTGGGGGCGGGCCACGCCTCCAGAGCGCCAGCCTAGCTCGGGCCCTGCTCCGGCTCTGCTCCCGCGCAGCTACGGCTCTGCTCCCGTCCAGCTCTCTTTCCCTAATTGGCTTCTCCCTGGTGTGCTCACTTGGAAGCGCCCGAGCCTTGGAGGCGTCCACGGCTCTCGGGACGCGGCGTCGCCACTCCAACTATTTTGAGCCTGTGCTGTCCGAAGCCTGTAAGTTTGAGGACTCCCTTCCCGGGTGAGATGGTCGCGACGTAGCGCGGTGTCCTAGGCTGTGCTCACCGCCCCGATGCGCCTGGCGCGCGCTGCCTGCGCATTGATTTATAGGTTCGGTCTTGGGTGTGTTTCAGGTTTCTTACAGTGTCTATTTAGAGGCGCGCGGTTGCCCCCCTGCAGCTCGCCTTTGGCGGGGGCGCGTAGCCAGGATCACTGGAGAGGCCAGTATACCGGGGCGCGGGGGTGGGGGGGGGATCTCTACGTGCTGCGTGTGGATACAAACTCCAGAGTTGCGCCTTTCCATTCCCGTCTTTTCTTCTCGTGGGGGATTGAAATGCACTAGCTTTTCCCAGGGAAATTTTGGAATAAAAACTTTTTGTTAAAAATAACAATACCCCCCCCCCCACACACACACCTTTTAGATTAAGTGTGTATTGCCGGCTGCGCGCTTGGCAGAGATTTTACATAGTCATAAGTACTGACATTAAAGTTCCCGGTTGGCGGATCGTCAGAAGGTGAAGCTGGTCCTTTGTGCGCCGGCCTCTAGGGAGACCACTTTCCCGTGCTCTCATCGGCCAGTGGAGGCGCGCTGGTGTCACTGCCTGCCTCCCAGTACCACTTTCCCAGACCCAATCCATCACACTGATTGTCAGGCCTGTCACTTGGGGCATATTGCTCCGGGACTACCCATCCCTGACTCTGCCGCGTTGATCTACGCCTTGAAACAACATGAGAACCCGAGATGGGGATAGGTGATTTCAAAGGGGTTCTCCAAACGGAAAGAAATAACCATCACGGAAATAACAAATAGCAATCCCGTACATTTATCATGCTCACTAAAGGAGACAGCAGGCACCATTCCCAGGCCATATCAATCATACACTGAACTAAAGGTACTCCCTGCATCTTTGCTGTTTTTTTTGGGCACTATGCATAGACCTCTTGGAAATTACACAGGCTCTGCCTACCCCAGTTTTAATCCTGGTAAAGCCAGGTTGAAACCAATGCTAAGGGATGCGGGGGCTGGGAGGTATCTTCCATATTGCAGCAAGAGGGGTACAAGAGAGGGGGTAATCCCATCTATGTGGTGGTCTCTAGGCCCCTCCTTCTCGTGCCAGCCTCTGTGCTTTCTGACTTTGCTGCTACTGCCAGCACCACATTTGAAAGTCCATTGCAGGGCTCCTGCCCTCTACAAGCCTATTTGGCCTCGGGGAAATTGCTACCTAGACGGAGAACAGAAGAAAGCCTTACAGACTGGAAAAGGGTGGGCCTCTATAGGCACCCTGGAGAAGGACTAGCCGGGAAGAGAGGAGACCCAGGAGGCAGAGAGAGATGAAAGACTCCTTCTTGGTTATTGTAACCAGCCCAGCTGTGAGAGTCAACCAAAAAAATCCTTCCAGGACCCAAGCAGATGTGTGTTAGGGATGATTAATGGGAAATCAGTTGGGAACAAAGAGGAGGGGAGAGAGAAGAGTTTGGAAGGAAAAGAGGGGTAGGAGGCAACAGAGAGGAGAGAGGGGAGATGAATAGAGGATGACAGAATATTTAGAGGAAAAGAGAAGAAAAAGGTAATAAATGATTGAAAGAAAAGGAGAAAGGAGGGGATGATGGTAGAATGGGCAGGCTCTGGGTAGAAGGTGAGCAGTTTGCCTCGTAGTATTATATTGTCCTTACACACCCACCCACCCACCCACGTTCTTAGCTCACAGCAGTGATCACCGATGGGAACAGGGGATGCCTTGACTGCGCTGAGGCCAGAACAGGCCTCTTTCCCTCTCCTGGAAAGCGCTAGCAAGGGAATGGGACACCTTTCCTTTTAGGGTGCTGGTGAGAGCAGCAGCGCTCTTCTGGCTGAATCCATCCAATGGCCTTAGGAGAAAAGATGGGATACTAGACTTAGCCAGGCCAGAGGCCTGATTAAACCACGACTAGACCACGATTACAATTGCTATTCAACATTCCCTTAGCTGAAGCACTAACCTATAGAGTCCTAACTGGGGCCCCCCAGTGGCATACAGCAGGGGCAGTGTTCAGAGGAATGGCTTGCCACCTGGGAGAGAATAAGGCTCAGTATTCAGCTGGGCCTTATTTACTGCAGGTCAGTGGTGCGCAGAGCATGGCGCTATAGGGATGAGGTTGAAAAGCCCATGCAAGATGTTGTACAGGGCATACGGCCCATGTCCTGGCCTTGCAGAAAAGTGGCAGATATGGGGCGCCTGGGTATCTCAGCTGGTTAAGCATCTGCCTTCAGCTCAGGTCATGGTCCCAGGGTCCTGGGATTGAGCCCCGCATCGGGCTCCCTGCTCTGTGGGGAGCCTGCGTCTTCCTCTTCCTTTGCCTGTTGCTCTCCCTGCTTGTGCTCTCTCTCTCTCTGTCAAATAAATAAATAAATAAAAAGAAAAGTGGCAGATGTATGGTTAAGGAGCCTCCCTCTCTCTAGGACCTGCTCAGCTTACTCTGGGAGCAAGCAGCCCCATTAAGACAGGACGGAATGGAGGCTGCTGGAGGATGTCCTGTGCCATTCCGTGTGTCAGACACTCCACAAGCCTTAGGTATTATTCTCTCCCATTTCCAGCTGAAGAGAGTGAGGCTGGAGAGGTTAGTCCCTTCCCCAAAGTCCTTGACTGGTGAGTGGCGGAGTGATTGCATGGAATCAGGTCTCTCAGAACCAGGCCTTTGAACCATGCTGCTCCGGTGGGTCTGGGCCCAGACAAGTCAACCTCCCTCCCCTTTTCCCCATGTGTGAGGTATAAGAATGACCTCCAAGGGTCAGGAGGCCGGAAGCAGACAATGTGTGTCCACATATTCAGCCCTTGGCGCAAGGGGAGACCCAGGTCAGTGAGGGCTGTGATATGTGCATCCGTGGGGCTGACGCCCCAGAGACCAGTCATGGCAGTAACAGCATCCGGAGCCACTCAGCACTGGGACCGCCCGCCCACAAGACCCAATCTGTCCCCGGATTCCACCAGAAATGAGAGTATCCCTTCCCCAGCCTCCAGTCAAAATGAGTCTCTTTAAAAAAATGCCCCCCCCCCAATCCCCCAAGCCCTCAGGAAAATCCTTTAGGAAATTCTGAATATTTATAGGTTTTTTTCAATACTTCCATTTACATAAAATTCGCCACCCAGGAGAAAATGCCTGAGTCAGGCTGAGAGCTGGAGGTGGTGGATTTGTTGTGTGGGGTTAATGTGGAGTTTTCAGTCCTCGAAGAAGCAGAATTGCCTGAATGATCGCCTCTCTCTGCATAACACTCAAACCCTAATGGCAACAACATGAAATAATATCTCACTGGGTAACTATTTACATTTTTTTTTTTTTTTTTTTTACAAGCTGTAAGAACTCTGAAAAGTCTGCCTCATAGAGAACTTGGTTTTCCTCCCTGGCGCTTAATATCTTTCAGCGGCTGGCAATTACTGCCTTGGCCAGGAGCCCTGATTTAGAGCACCGAGCTCAGGGCCCTAGGAGGCCACTTCTTCTGCCTGCTCCATCCCTATCCCCAGCTTCAGACACAGCCTGGGACAGGAGAGGGCCGGAGGGGCAAGAACAGCTAACCTGGCAGGGAGGCTGCACGACCAGCTCCCTCCTCTGCGCTCTCGCGGTCGTACTGTGTCCTATAATTACACTTATCACTCAGTATCTGCCCTCGTTTGTTTACTTGTCCATTGCTCCCTTTGGACTGTGACTGCTTCTCATTGTCCGTTGCCTCTTTGTATTCTTAACTGCTTAGCAATAGCTTCCCAGGAGCCAGGGCCAAGAGCCAAGTACCTCGCTGCAAGCATTTTCCCCTTAATCCTAATCCTTACAGAAGCCTGCAGAGATGGGTCCTCTCTTACCCCATTTCGTGGCCAAGGACGTGGGGGTTCAGTCACTTGCCCAAAGTCCCAGCTCCTGAGCCTTGGGCCTGGGATGTGAATCTAGGCCATCCGAGTGTCATTAAGTGAATGTTTGTTGCTAAATAAAGGAGAATTTTACCTGTAGGGTGCGGTTTGTTTATGTCTCCTCTCACTGGCATCCCAAGAAGGTTCAAGGTGGATAACTTGGTGTTTTTCAAAAATGTCAACTGTATAAACATGTGAAAGGATCGTTCCCCAAATCTGTGTCTCGGTGTTCATCCTTCCTC